AGCCTCCACTGGGGACCCAGGGCTCCAGCCTGTGACACATAAAAACAGCTTAACCAGGGTTTCTTTTAGAGTTTGAGACCAGAAAATTCCATCTATGCTTCATCTCCCTGCCATTCTAAGATCCCCTTAAAAAATGTAAGCCTTTCCACAGCCCCATGTACTTTCTTCTTTCACCCTACTCTCTGCATGGGTCAAATCAACTAGCAGTCTCACTAGCATGCATGAGAGTATCTACCCTTCCTACCTTGGCTAATAGTGTTATCAGACTTTATTAGATAATTTGTCAGTCCCATTTTTTTTTTTTTTTGAAACAGAGTCTTGCTCTGTTGCCCAGGGTGGAGTGCAGTGGTGTGATCTGGGCTCACTGTAACCTCTACCTCTTGGATTCAAGGGATTCTTCTGCCTCAATCTCCTGAGTAACTGGGATTGTAGGCACCTGCCACCATGCCCAGCTAATTTTTGTATTTTTAGTAGAGAGGGGGTTTCACCATGTCGGCCAGGCTGGTCTAGAACTTTTCGCCTCACGTGATCTGGCCACCACGGCCTCCCAAAGTGCTGGGATTAGAGGCGTGAGCCACCACACCCGGCCTCAGTCCCACTTTTGTTTGTCTTGATTATCGTACCTATGAACGTGCTATTGCACGACTTGCAGCACCCTTCCCTACCTTTTTGACCTCACATGCCCTAGTTATCCTTTCAGATGAGTCTCAGAAACTTCTCTGGGAAGCGCTCTTCTATGCTGCCACTTACCACGTGGTATCTCAGCTAGTCATCTTCTTGCCCCTTAGTCTTGAGCAGTTTGAGTACAGGGCTCTGCCTTAATTACATTTGTGTTGCCAGTGCCTAACAAAGGGTCTGGCACATAGTAGGTGTTCAGTAAACTTTTGCAGAATGAATATGGAATAACTATGCTTTTCCTGAAACTGGTGTTAACTAATATGGGGCCATTCCTAACTCCATGTCTTCTTTTAAAGGGGCTTTCTCACTCAGAGGAAATCAAACTGCAAATTTAATTTAAGTGGTGATTCCACACAGGAGGTATAACTGATACAGGAATGCTCCTGGGACTGCAGAATGTAAACTTATTTATGACCTTGAATAATTGTCGTTATTCAAGGAGCTTACAAGAATGAACTTGTGAGACTTAGAGGACTTTGCTTATGTGTTTTGAAAAGCAGCAGAATCCACTTGGGGACTGGGTTTGTTTGGTTTACTTATATCAAGTTAGAGCTCATTGCTAATGTTTTCTTCCCCTGCCCCCAACTCCTGCCAAACAGTTTATGACCCAATGTACAAGAACCACGTATCAAACTGGCTTCCACCAGTGTCAGAACCAGCAGGAGCCAAGAGGTCCACCACTCAGACTGCAAAACATCCTCCACATCTGGAGAGGAAGGCACAGACCAAAGAATCAGGACGTCTGTAAATCAGCCACTCTCCATGTAGATGGCCTGGTGGATGCCAAGAACTGGCTAGAGGCTGGAATACAAAGGCGGTACATGGTGGAGACAGGGCTTCAAATATTTTTTTTTTTAATGTCGGGGTGCAGTGGTTCACACCTGTAATCCCAGCACTTTGGGAGGCCGAGACGGGCAGATCACGAGGTCAGGAAATCAAGACCATCCTGGCTAACACTGTGAAACTCCATCTCTACTAAAAATACAAAAAATTAGCTGGGTGTAGTGGCATGTGCCTGTAGCCCCAGCTACTCAGGAGGCTGACGCAGGAGAATCGCTTGAACCAGGGAGTCGGAGCTTGCAGTGAGCAGAGATTGTGCCACTGCACTCCAGCCTGGGCAACAGAGTGAGATTCCGTCTCAAAAATAAATAATATAAATAAAAATAAAAAATGGTGCACATTTTGGCATTCTTGGGTTTCTATCCCACCTACATACCACTTATCACATGTGTGACCTTGCATAAAATTCTTCCCTCTTAGCATCTCGGCTTTTAAACAAGAAAATGGGTTATTTTGGCCAGGTGCGGTGGCTCTCGCCTATAATCCCAGCACTTTGGGAGGCCAAGGCAGGCAGATCACTTGAGGTCACCCTGGCTGGGAAGAGTGATGGGGAGGGCAGGATGAAGAGAGGTTGGTTAATGGGTACAAACACAGTTAGATAGCAGGAATAAGTTCCAGCATTCAACAGCAGAGCTGTGTGACTACAGTTAGCAATAATTTATTGTATATTTCAAAATAGCTAGAAGAGAAGATTTGAGATATTCTGAACACAAATAAATGGTAAATGTTTGAGGCGATGGATATCCTAAATGCCCTGATTTGATCATTGCATATTGTATGCCTGTATCAAAATATCACAGGTATTCCATAAGTATGTATAATTATTATGTATCAATTTTAAAAAAATAACCCTTGCTTTAGCTAAGGGGCCCTCATCTTGGTCTCTAACTCCAGCTTCAGGGTCACTGCCTGGCTGACTTGGTTGGATCTGCAGACCATAGATGTTAGTGGAGATTTGGGAACTGCGACTTTTGAGCCCTGAGTTTAACCTCCAGCTTCACGGAGGTTTCGAAAAAGAAATGCATCAAATAATTCCGGATACTTTTTTTTTTATTTTATTGTTTAGGCCATTAGAAAGTTCCTAACCAAAACTGGCAAATGTATGGCCCACCCACTCTGCCTTCCTTCACCCTCTGCAGGCAGTGATAACCTTCCATGATACTCCTAGTGGAGACAAGGGGTGACCTTCTCAACATCACACTCCAGAGTTAAAGCAGATGATGGTGCAACAGGCAGACATATGTGCCAGGACACCATCGGCGCTCCTTTACATGGGAAATGGTGTTTACAACCCACTGGCAGAGAAATGCATGATTTGATTTTTTTAATCTAGCAGAAGAATGAATTATATGAGATTTTTGCATATTTTCTCACTCTATGTGAGCAGATGTCAGGTTGAAGTTGGGGTAGAGACTGTGCTCAGAAAATACATGTCTCATTGAAGCTAACTGATGGATTTAATGCCTTGTTCTCGGGTTGGAAGCAAGTCACCCAGCTACCCAGAAGCTACTTAGTAAATGTCACGAATCTCAGAGACAAAGCATGTGTGTGTCTATGGGGACACACATGTATACAGAAAGAAAAGTCTGAAGGCAGGCAAGAGATGATAAAGAAGAGAAGATTTGAAGTCTCACAAGATCTGAAAAATCATTCTAGTCTCAGAAAAGTAAACCCTGTAACGATATCAAAGTTGGATCAACAGGTATGCCAGTAAAATGCTTTTATTATTTGCCTTATTTGGACCCACGCCATATTTCTCTTTAATTGCTCCTTTCATTTTCTTGGGTAATAATTATAAGGCTAACTTTTTAAATAAAATAAAATTGTTCCTCTGCTCTATGCAGATTTAACTAAACAGGTTAAGGCAAGTATCCCCAATCCCCGTCCTAGTCACCAGGTCTTGGTTTAGTTTATCAACCCAGGTCAGGAAGACAGATCTTATCCCGGTTGTTGCACTAATTATCTGAGGGGGAGTCATGTGATATAGGCCAGTGAGCCTTCCTAGGCCCCAGTTTCCTTGTTTATTCGATAAATATGTTTGACTAGTTAATACAATAGGTGTATGTGTGTGATGCAGGGGTGAGGAGCGGCTTAACTATTTTGCAAGAAAAACCAGTAACTAGTTTCAATATCTTCTACGGTGAGTCTCTGACCCTATCCTAGTCACTAAAATCTGCCATTGTGGTCAAGGAGTCCTAGCCAGGGTGAAATGGAAGATCTGAAAAGTCCTCATTGCAGTGTGTAAGAAATCAAAGTAATCATCCTTTGCAAGGCTCAGTAATACCTTTTCATACCCAACATGATGGGAACCTTCACTTAGCCCACACTCATTTGGACTGCGCATCTTAGTCAGCAAAATGGAGTAATAAAGTCTACAAATGAGAAATGACTTACTTCTTATGGAAACAGTCTTAAAATTATTTGGAAACACATACATTACTGTCTGTTTTTAAGTAATTTTTGGAGCCTTTAAGATCTATTCCCTGACTTCCCCTGCTTTGCTCTGCATCTCAGAGGTTGATTCTGCAAACTGCACTTTCCGGGTTAATGTGCCCTCTGACTCTGAGTTAAATTCTGCCAATGGGAGGCACTGGCAAGAGATCAGGAGGCAGAAAGAAGCTAGGACAGTTCTTCTCCTCCTTCTTGGCATTGAGAATGTCTCTGGCAGTGATTCTGCTGTGCTTTCATCTCCCATTGGAAAGCAGCTCTCTCTGTGGTCCCAGCTCCTGCTGGGTGGCTCCTCCAACACCCACCTCCTCCTCCCTTTGATTCTCTAGCCCTGCAGGTAATAGCTGAGTTGTCTCATTGTGCCTTCAGCCTCTCCAACCTTGGCAATGGACTCATGCCCAGTGAATTACTGGGCATGGGTGTTGCCTTCCAGACTGAACCCCGAGTGATGTGCCATCCAGGGGGCTGCTGGTCTGTACAGAACAGACCTCATGTTTAGGGGTATACAGACTCCTGGCAGATTCACTTCTTCTTTAAACGGTTCACTTGCCTGACCACCTAGCACTGCATACACTAGGCGTGTGTTGAAATGGAAAAAACACTGGACAGGGAACTAGAAACTCACTGTGTAGTCACGTGACCTTTGCCAAATGCCTTTAGGGTCACATGAGCTTGAGTTTATTTATGTCACAGGGATAAGAGTTCATCTGACCTGCTGACTGCCTATTAGGTTCAAATGGAGAGGCCATGAAAACACGTCTTAGGAATTGAAATGGTCATTGCAAATCTAAATATATGACTATGATTTTATGAGACACAGTTAACTTTCATAGAATAGAAAATGCTTTGCTCTCGCCTTAGCCTGATTTTGGTTACTCAGTTGATCTGCACTAAATGTCCTGACATAGACTCGTGCCTGGCACATCACAAGAGCTCTGTGGCTCCAGCTGTGATTACTGCGCCGGGCTCCCCTTGGCATCGAGACAACATGTCAGTTTATCAAGGATTATACAGGGAAGTCAAGGTCAACTTACCAATGTCAAGGACCCTCTGCTTTGCCGTATGCTGCCGAGAGTGCCAGTATTTAGCTGTCCATCCTCTGGTTTTTTCTTCACTGAAGACTCACATCACCCACTCGCAGAGGGAGGGAATCGTGGGGCTTTACTTTTTGTTCAGTGCTCTGTTGCCCTCAGTGTCTTCCAGTCTGGAATGTTCTACCAGAGGGGGTATTGTTGGGGGGTGGGCGATGGCTGTTCGTGCGTGTAGGAGAAAGCCCAGAGCCAAGGCTGGTTGTATGTCTGTTTTGTTATAAAATGACTACTCAAAAAAATGATTGAAAAATAAAGAACAGCGATGAAGGGAAAAAAAAGAGTCCTAGCGTCACTTTTTACCCGGAAGTTATAAACAACCCAGATCAGCCCCCAATCATCAGCAAATGCTATATATTTTGTTGAGCAGGGAACCGCACCCAAAATTTTTTTCTTGCATTGAAACAGGCATCTTTTGAAATTTCTAATCCTTAAAATAAAATGTCTGTGATGCCATTTGTGTTAAAGAGCAAACACTCTGTTTGTGGCTAATGAAGTGCCCTCAGGGCTGTGGAATTCAAAATTAATGAGACAAAATACAGGAAATGATGAAATGCAAAAGGCAAATCGAGTTTACTGGTGACATAAGATCTAAACGACAGATATTTCATACCCCAAAAACAACACGAGCAACTATTAATATCTATTTAAATCCAATGTGAATGTACTTAAAAAAATGAGCTGAGAAACTAATTATTCTTGGCATGGGAAATAGGAATTTCAAAACTCTTTTCAGTCTAAATATAACGCCTCATTAAACTAAATAGGAGGGCAATTAATTCCACCTCACACTTATGAAATGGCGAGACAGTAGCCAAGGAGGAACGGAACCCTCCTTTTCCAAATAAGACCTTTAATACAGTATACGTGAATTCTCCTCCTGGCACTGCACATCCAAAACATCTCTTAGGCAATGCCTTTCCTAGCTGTTCCCAGGAAAAATATCATGGAACTTTTCATTCCTTAAGAACTTCTTAGGGCGTGCCGTAACTCATGCATCGTAATCCCAAACCTTTGGGATATCACTGATCGTGGGAAGATCTTTGGAAGTCCTAGAAATTTAAGATCCCTTAGTCTTGGGGAGATATATTGGAGGAGCCGTGTCTCTGCGCAATAAGAATACGAAATTAAATATAAAACAAAATAAAATAAAATAAAATAAAATGCCAGGCATGGTGGTGCACATCTGAAGTCCCAGCTACTTGGAAGGCTGAGACAGGAGGATCCATTTGAGCCTGGGAGGTTGAGGCTTCAATGAGTAGTGATCATGCCACTGTACTCTAGCCTGGGTGACAGAGCAAGACCCTGTCTCCAAAACCAAAACCAAAACAACCTTCTCCTTTGTAGCAGTTTACACATTAGTAGTCATTTACTTATTTACAATTATTCAGCCAATGGCAATGTCTTCCCAATTAACATCAAACTTAGCAAGGACAGAAACAGTGTCTGCCATTCACCCTGACACTTGACGAATAATAGACAGTAAATACATGCTGGTGGCTGGCTGTCACTTCGAAATCTGGCTCTTGCCTAAAGTATGTGTAAACAATTTTTACACAAGAAAGCAGATGTTTGTTAGGAAAACCATGTAGAAATATGTATCCATATTGTTTCAAATTCACAAGCAGTGTGATCTTCAGAGGCACTGGATACATGACAACACAGAAAACCATTCTCTGTGCTGGTGCAACTATGAGCTCAGCCAGCTTTTCATTCTACCCCTGCCATGCCTCAAACTTTTCCATTTATGTGTAAAAGCTTACTGCGTGGCTTCCTGGTATTTATTTCTGTCTCAAAATAACAATAACATTTAAAGTAATATTTTTTCTGGCAAGTGTCTAAATTAGCATAAATAATGGCATATTCTTGGTATGGAAATTTATTTCTTCAATGATAAAGAAAAAAGCAGTTTGAAACTGTTGTTACCACGCCCTACATGCTTTGACTTGGAATGAAACACTGTTCTCAGAAATAAATGCTGGTAGGTTACAAACACATTTCTCCTTCTTGCCCCAGAGCTGGGGAGTAAGAAAGAGCCACTCTGAGGTGCCAACTTAGTCTCCAAGGGTGGAGGTTGAAGTCCTTACAAAAAAGGGGGGACTCTTCATTTCAGCCAAAATGGAACATAAAGAAATAAAATTTCCTTATTAAATTATTTTCATGATTTCAGCAAAGTAGAATTCTTGGGAAAGTCCCTGTACTCCAAACTCTTGTCATGACCTTAGAATACTAACCACCCACCATTTTTTCCAGGTTGATGATAATGGTGTTAAGAGGGTGTATACGAGTTATACTAACACTTGGAATTTATAAGGCTTAAAAAAAAAGCAAATTTATTCAGCGTCGTCTTACCAGATGCTCATATACGAGAGGGGGAGGATGTAATTTATAGGAAATATATCCAGAGAGAAATATATCCAGGCTAACATTTGCCTGCCTTCAGCCCTCCATGCTGCTTAACACAGCGCAACCTCATGGTAAAGAGAGTTGGGTTCAGGAGTCTGATGGCCTAGGGTGGATCCTGGTTCCCTTGCCTTTTAGCTATGTAACCTTGGCCAGTTACTAGCTTCTGAAACTTTATCACCCAGTTTCCTTATCTGTAATATCATAAAAACAATAGTACCTTTTTCATAGGGTTGTTGTCAGTTTCAATGAGTTACTAGACAGATGGTACCTAATACAGTACCTGGCGCTTGAAGATAATAAATATAAATTGTTATTTTATGACTCTTGCTATTATTATGATGATGGCATATTCTCCACCGCAGTCTTGACCACAGCGTTAGAACTTACTAATTCTCCTGATGGGCACACAACTTTCTCACTGCAGTGAGCTCAGCCTTGTGTGGAACCTGTGCCCCACCTGCACTGGGGGGTGTGCCTGAGTTGTGGCGCTGTAGGCACACCATGTGCTCCTTTCTTAAGTGTTCTGAAGTGGTTAGGAGGAGGGAGCTGTGACTAAAATAAGGTGGGCTGGGCACCATGGACACAACAGCATAAATCATTTTACAACAGATCAGGAAAATCCTTCCACCTCTTTTCAGAGCTGTGCTATCATTTTCCTTTTCAGTAGAGAAGGATTACCGGGCCTCTCCCTTCTTGGCAGTAGCACGTACGCCAGAAGCTGGCAGGCTTCCAGAGAAGGGAGAGCCAGTTGCATTTCCCACAAGTAGAACGAACACTCATGAATCTGAAAATTCCCCCAAGTGACTCCTGGTGGGGATCGTACCTCGTCTCTGGAACCCTGAGAAAGCACTGGGCTGCAGAAGGCTTTGAAACCGAGTTCCACCAGGCCCAGGGATTCAGAGTGAGCTGCATTTTCCTTTATAGAATAGAACACAGCTCTTTCTCACCCACAGAGGGGTTCTGACTTACAGCTACTTACTTGAAAAATTATGACCAATTGATTGAAAACAACCACAACAAGGAAGCACATAAGCAGTGAGTGAAGCGGGAAAATTCCTCGGATACAGTCAGACAGCATGTTCCAACCACGTCCCTTCCCTGGGGTTTACTGGTTACTCATTACAATGATAAACTACGAGCCGGTAAGTGCTCTTGCCCCAACCCTCTGACGTTCGTTCTAGAATTATTTATGTTGAAGGTTTTATCTTTTTTTCCATGCTATTCCACAAGGCTGTGAGGTAGCCATTCCATTCATTGGATTCCTTTGTACTTTATCTGAGAAATTTGGCCCCTACCCTGACTTTGCTGATGGGGTGTCGGAAGCATTTGTTGTCTCCGGTCTCACTGAGTGTTATGGCATAGAACTGTCCCTTGTTGAGGTAGGTCATGGGGCCCTCCCCCTGCTTCTGACGGAGGGATTTGGTGGCTTCCAGGGTGTACTGAAACGTGCCACTGTGAAAGAAAACAAACAGTGGTCAGATTCACTCACTTGGACATTTCTGCTTTTTTGACCAATTTCACATCAATAGCATTTCACATCAATATTAACCAATGTTTACTGTTTTAGAGACAAAACACAGCATATGGCAAAAGAGATGAGACCAGACCAAAGGTCATTGCTAGTACAACGTATATAACATTTCTAATAGTGGCCCATAAACCAGATGGTTTGGAAAGGGAGAAAGTCCACGATGTGCCTGGCCAATTGTGCAAGAAAACGCTCTACCAGGAGAACCCCTGGTAGATCTTAGCTGGCAATTAGGTAATGCTCGAAGCTTAAGAATGAATAGAATTTGCCATTTTTACCCTAACAACAAAACAACGCAATAAATAATTTTGTTCAATTCATGTATATACCTAACCTTTTTTTGTTTTGTTTTGTTGTCTAACAAAGGTGTTACAGATAGCTGTATCTTACTATAAAGCATCTCAAAACATGAAAATCCAAAACTCAAACATTCACCTGAGAATCTAGTTCCCTAATAACAGGGAGTACTTTTTGTCTTTTGCTTCTTGCTTTCAAGCCTGCAGAACTCATGGTAGGGTTGTTCAAAATCAGGGGTTTGCAAATGATGGCCCATAGGCCAAATCCCTCTCACTGCCTGTTTTTGTAAATAAAGTCTATTGGAACACAACTGCACTCACTTGTTTACATATTGTCTATGACTGCTTTCGTACTACAACAGCAAAGTTGAGTCGTTGTGGTAGAGATGATAGCCTGCTAAACCTCAAATTCTTACTCTCTAGTTCATTACAAAAAAAGTGTGCAGATCCCTGCTCTAAATAGTGTCCCTCATATTTTTTTAAAAACATGATATAATTTACAAAAGAAAAACACTAATTTTTCCCAACTTCGAAGAGAATATCAATTATTTAAAATAACACAACAGGTATGAACCACAATCATTTTTTGTTTAACACATTCATTCAGAAATATTTATTTCTGCCATACTGCAGGACAGCACACAGTGACAATCCACTAACAAACACTGCGTATTTTCTAGATCATCAGAAACTCTCCATTGAGTTTATATTTTTAGCTCTTTTATTTCAAAGTCTTTGGAAGGCTGGGCACAAAGACGACTCAAACTTTGTCTCTGAAAATGGTTTCCTGACAGGATTATGGGGGGTTCTTGCTTTCTATGTTAAATATTTCTGTAATGTTTTGTTTATTTTTGAACTTTTATGATGACAAAAAAATCTGAAGGGCAGAATAATATTCCTCTTTTATGATAAAAAAAATCTTAGGCTCAAGCTAATAAACTAAGCAAATTCTGGAATATGTGTCTTAAAAGAAGTTGGGAAATAAATCATTCAAAACAGAACTGATTCCATTGTCATTTTGTCTGAAAAAGCAATTTCAATACAGTGCCATTGAATCATAGCATTTTAGACCCGGACAGGATATTAGGAATCACCTAGACCAGTAGCTTGCGTCTTGTCTAGGGCACAGACTGCTTTGAAAACATGAAGAAAGCAGTGAACTTTCCTTCCCAGATAAAGGCACTTATGAACACAAACTATTTTTAATATAATTTCAGGGATTTGTGTCCATCAAGCCTGCTCATAACACAGGATAAAAACCTGAGATTCAGCCCACCTTCCTCATTTCGCAGCTAAGGGGAGGCTAAGAGACGCGCTCACTCTGCTGGACCATGGCAGCAGTGGAAAGAGAAACTAGGTCAAGTCACTGGTAGGTCCTTGCTCTTCCCACTGGCCTAGCAGCTGCTGACATGGTGCTTTGGATTTAGAGCATGCAAATTAGACTTTTATTCCCACATTTTAGAAGGCAATTTCAAGTCCAGTCTTCCCTGCCTCCTGCTTCCTGCCCCATCTCCACAACACACTCCAAATTCTAAATAAGATGATCTGGGAAGGATGAGTGGGGAGCCTGAGACTGGAACCAGAGGACTTTAAGAGGAAACCAAGAGAATGGAAGAGGGCCATATGCGTAAAAGCAAAGGAGCAAGAAACATAGTGGGAGATGGGATTTTAAGTAAAGAGGGACCAAAACATAGAGGGCCCTGATGACCTTCATAAGGAATTTGAGTTCAATTCTGCCTGAAATGATGAAATATTTGGTAAGTTTTGTAAATGGGGGAGATAAATTCATTTCTTGCCACTTTCTCCCTCTCTCTCTTTTTGTTTTTTTAAATGTAATGGCATCTTACTGTGTTGGCCAGGCTGGTCTTGAACTTCTGAGCTCAAGTGATCCTCCCACCTCAGCCTCCCAAAGTGCTGGATTACAGGCATGAGCCACCACGCCCAGCTGCCATTCTCTCCTGTCTTCAGACATGAGCATAACCAAGGTCTTAAAACATGACTCTTCTACCTGGAATGTTCTTAATCTTCCTTCTTTCCTTAGAAAACACCTGCTATTAACCCTTTAAGATGCAGCTCAAATGCCACTTCCTGTGAATATTTGCCCTCAACCCCACACACCTTCCTACTCCCACACACATGTGCAGGACTATAGGTCCATTTAACTCTGTTTATATATCTCCATAGCAGGACTCATTTCTTAGCAAATGTTTTTCAATTTGTCTGTCATCACATTTGTCTCCTCCAAAAGTGTATGGACCTCTTGTAAGGGGAGATTATATCTTATCCCCAATCCTACTCACACTGCTGCACATGGAAGGCACCTGAGTGCATGATAGCTGGTAGCTGGCTATGTGCACAGTGGAACAAAAAAGAAGTGTTGGCAGGGAGATCCAATGTATTGCAATAGCTCAGGAGAAAGTTGACAAGGACAATTTGGAAAAGAGATGACAAGTGGAACAGACAATTCAGCATTTGGCAAGTGCTGAGAAAGTCCAACATGAAAGAAGCCAAATCCTTTACCTCTAGCTGGGGTGGCTTGGAAAATGGCTACATCATTAGCCACAATAGGAAATAAAAGCAGAACACTAGGTGTGAAACAAGTGGAAGAGGAGGGAAAGAAGAAAAAAAGATAGAGCTTCATATTACACTTGTTGGGCTGGAAGCACATGAGTATGAGGTTCAAAGGAACACCTAAGAAGGAATGTCTAACCAACAGAAGGAAGAAAAGGGTGTAGGCCCCAGAAAATTGGTCAATACTGGAAATAATGATATAGAAGTCCTTTGTATAAAGAAAAAAGCACTGAGGCAAAGGAAATCACACTGTTCTGTAAAAGTTTACAAAGAAAAAAGGTTTAAAGGTATAACTTGAAGGTATATTTAAAAGGTTATCAGTTAATCAGTTTCTAAGGATGCATCCCCTGGTAACTCACCTTGATGTCTGATCATACATGTACTCCTCAGCCCCAACTGAAGCACTCCGAAATTTCTGCAAAATATGAGTCATCGGAATTAAAACAAGTAGGTAAGTCATTATGCAAAAACGATAATAATAATAAATGTATCCCAACTATTTTACTCTCTCACTAGGAAAGAAAGCTATATATTTGATATTATGTTTTCAACTACAGCAAATGTAGTCATAGAACTCACCTATCACTTCCTCACTTAGAGCTACACTCAACAGAAAATACATTTGTGCTTTGTATGTTATTCACGTGTTCACAGGTGTTCCTATAGTGTTTGAGATACTGGAAGCTGTTTCCTCAAATACATAATACATCTCTGCCATTTGCTATTGTTTCCAACACTTATTCCAAATGTCACAAATTCTGAATTAACAGAACATGAATTACACAGAGATTATATAGCACAGCAAAAAGCAATACAGTAGAATGGTTAAGAACATAGTTTCTGGAGCAAGATTGTATAGGGTCAAGTTCTAGCTCTTTTACCTGCTACCTATATAAAATGAGGCAAATGCTATATTTTCTTCATCTATAAAATTTCTATTTGTAATAAATAGAAGAATTAAATAAGTTTTAAAAAGTACTAAGAATAGGCTGGGCATGGTGACTCATGCCTGTAATCCTGCACTTTGGGAGGCCAAGGCAGGAGAATTGCTTGAAGCCAGGAGTTTCAGACCAGCCTGGACAATAAAGCAAGACCTGTCTTGACAAAAAATAAAATAAAATAAAATTAGCTGTATGTGGTGGCTCATGCCTGTAGTCCCAGCTACCCAGAAAGTTGAGGCGGGAGCATCGCTTGAGCCCAAGAGTTCAAGGCTGCAGTGAGCTACCATCACGTCACTTGAGTCCAGCCTGAGCAATAGGCTGGAGTGCCTATTAAGACCTTATTTTCTTAAAAAAAAAAAATAAAGTTACTAAGAATAGAGCCTGGTACACAGTGAGCACTATGTACATGTATAAATACTATTATAAAGTAATAGTTTGACCCTATTCAGTGTCCTTCTCTAAGGATCTTCATTATCACAATATTGGAAGAGTAGGCTTTCTGGGGAAACTAAGTTTAGTATTACACACAAAGAAGCTTGGGTCTCAAGATGTTCAATTGTATGCACAGTGCATATAGGATGTGCTTTGCTACGTTTTAGAACCTTTTCAAAAGTAGATGACCAAAAGCCCTAATTCTTGATCTGAAGTGAATATTGTAGAATACAGATGAAAAAGCATTTCATTGGCCACATATCTTGTTCTTTCACTATGACCATTTTTCAAGTGTCTCGTCTTAAGAAATAACCTTCTTGTCTCTCATTTCTGTGCAATAAACTTACATTCTTTGACCAGCATTTCAAGGGTTTCCTTCTAAAGGAGAAATGTTATCACAGCTATTTTCCAAACTTCCTCACAACCCCTAACCATTATCTCTGGAATTCAGCATACCTTATATCATAGTTTCCATACATATTTATGATCCTTCTTCTTATCCAGTCTTACTCTTTGAATTCAGGAAGATGATCTTCCCTTCGAACTTTACCCAGACGAATCCCATGAACATTGCCCAAATACTTGTTGGCTGATTAAATAATCATGACAGAGAATCAAAGGTACAGATTTGTGTTTCTTTTGCAATCAATTAGGTAATCAGCAAAGCATTCAATGGGAATTTTCTGGGGCTTCACCATCTGCTTTGGTGCCAGAAGAAACACACAATTCTATATGACACTGTCCTGGCCTCAGAGAGATAAAAATTGGTCGAGGGGATGGAATACATTCACATTAAAAAAAAAAAAAAAAAAACTGAAATACAGCAAATGACTACATATGAAAGTCTATGTTGAATCATCATTCATTCATGTGTCTTGACTGGAAAAGCATAGAATGGGCATTGCCAGGAAAGGAAGATCAGCAAAATTATAGGGGGATTTCATAAAGCTGGTGAGCTTCACTCTGACCCTTGGAAGCCAAAGACAGCCTGGATTAACTGAAGGAACTGAGAGAAAGTAACCCAAGCAAAAGAGGGCCACCGTGAGTCAAGACAAAAATGATGAGTACAAATGTGGTGCATACATGAGATCAAGGACACAGGCCTTGCTTGGTTATTTAGTAGGAACTTGAAAATTTAGGTCTTGCTGCCCAATATGATAGCCCCTAGCTCCATGTGCTATTTAAATTTAAGTTGATTAGATTGAAATACATTTAAACTTTCGGTTCCTCAGTCAACTAGCCACATTTCAAGTACTACATTCACACATTGGCTAGTGACTAACGTTGGATAGTATTAAAAAATTTTCCATCATTGCAGAAGGTTCTACTGGACTGACTGATTTAGGAAAATGTATTTACATTTAATATGGTCAGGAATTAGAAAATTTTGGAGTAGGAAGGTAATATGATGAAAAAAATATTTAAAGGAGTGACTTGGAGACACAGATGCATTTCCAAAGTCTTTGCTTGAAGGAATATGCAGTAACCCATAAAAACCATGGTGAATCAGCATTAGTATACATGGCAAGAGTGGATTACCATCCATGCCATAGATTTCTGCAGTCTGAGGATAGGCTAGCCTCCTAAAGCATATTGGACTTGTAAATTCTGTGGTTCTAATTCCCCAGATGGCACGAGAAGGTATGATACTACAAATCTTCAGACTCAGAAAGATTCAACTATGTGCTGGCTGAAATACAGAATCCCACTTCAATGCATGAATGCATGAGGATAAGAACTGTGAAAAAATAAACGTACATATATACCATGGAATACTATGAAGCCATAAAAAAGGATGAGTTTGTGTCCTTTGTAGGGACATGGATGCAGCTGGAAATCATCATTCTCAGCAAACTATCGCAAGAACAGAAAACCAAACACCGCACGTTCTTACTCATAGGTGGGAACTGAACAATGAGATCACTTGGACTCAGAAAGGGGAACATCACACACTGGGGCCTATCATGGGGAGGGGGGAGGGGGGAGGGATTGCATTGGGAGTTATACCTGATGTAAATGACGAGTTGATGGGTGCTGACGAGTTGATGGGTGCAGCACACCAACATGGCACAAGTATACATATGTAACAAACCTGCACGTTATGCACATGTACCCTAGAACTTAAAGTATAATAATAAAATAAAATAAAAAAAGAAAAAAATAAACATTTTTCCTAGTTCCATGTTATAGTAGTGGTGACTACTGTAGTTACCATGTTATAAGCCTAGATATTATTTTTCATTAAGCTGAAAATTTTTTCAATTCTGTTACATTATCTTTATAATTTTAAAAGAATTAAATGGATAGTGCACCTAGAAAACATCACCATCCTTTAGATGAGACCTGATTACATTGATGGGTTATATGGCTATAAATGAATTAGTATTAGAAATTAGAACCAAAATGCTCAGGTCGTTCTGGATACAGTTATCAAGTTTCCACAGTTGTTTGGAGACCTATTAATATAATTTGTAGGATGCCAAAAGGCAGTCAGACAGCCAACATCACTGTATTTTACTGTGACTTGATATAGTGCATCTATAAATTTGAACTCAGAAAAATGATAGTAAAGAAGGTATGATAATATATATTTGATAGATTACTCTTAAAGGACCTTGGACATCAGGCAATCGTAAACATATTTAAATCTCAAATATTGGAATTCTGTTCTTTCTCTTGCGTTGTGGAAACGAGCTATCTGGTAAGAACATGTCTCAAAAAGACAATGTTTCTTTAACTGTACGGAAATCATAAATTGCTAAACCATTTCTTGTCATTGACTAGCCACTAATTTTTTAGGTCCCATCATTTATTCATTCACTCTTTCAATAAACATTTGCTGAACATTTACTTTATATCAGGCACTGTGCTCAATGCTACAGATACAGCGGTGAACAAAAGGAGAATATGTCTCTGCTCTCATGAAGCTTCTGTTCAAGTAGGAAAAAACACTAATCAAACAATTGTTTATTTTTAAAAACTACATTCTGTGTGCAGGCATTCTGAAGAAGAGCAACAGTTCTATATGAGCTCATCACATTCACTGCTATGAGAAAGCGAAAATTGGCACCACTGGCAGTCAACCTTAATGTTCCTAACAGAGTGCAATGCTTCCAGAGAAACATGGATAAGGTCAACAGGAGGTAAGCAGTGCTTCCAACAGAGTCCCAGAAGATAATAACACAATAACAAGGTGAATAATGCTCCCTCCTTCTGAACAATGATCATGAGATATCCAGTTGCTGGGTGTCCCTACATCTTGACAGTATCCAATTCAGAGCTGGTTGTCACTTCTGTAATCCCTCCTTGGACTCATCCAGCACATGACCAAACATTATGAAGAGCTCTCAACTCTCCCTGACTGAGATGCTGTTAAGGGGCTCCTGCTGAGGCAGGCTAAATAAGTGTAACTTTGACTACGGATGTGTTTGTGGTGGTCTCCGGGGTGGTGGATTTAGATACAAAGAAAACTGACTCCAGTAGGAATTGGAGTGACAGAAAAAAAAAAAAGGGCTTCCCTAAGGAAGTTACACAGAAGGAAGGGTATAGAAAGGTAGTAAAGAATACTCTAGGGCAGTATTGTCCAATAGGGTCTTGTACAACGATGGAAGTGTTCTATATTTTCACTATCCAATATGGTAGCCTCTAGCTGTATGTACATGTAAAACATAGTTAGTGGGACTGATGGACTGAATTCTTAATTTTATTTCATTTTAATAATCACACATGGCTAGTGGCTATGGTATAATACAGCTCAGTTCTAGCCCATGGACCAACATACACATAGGTCCTGAGTCAGAAGGGGGCATGTGAGGCTCACAGAACCTATTGGAGCCTAGAGCAGAGGACAGAAGGAGGAAAGTTGTATGAGAAAAGATGGGAGAAGCATTGGAGACACAGACTCCGCAGTGCCTCGTAAACCCGTTAAAGACTTAGATCTTTAACTGGGCTCAGTGGCTTATGCCTGAAATCTCAGCACTTTGGGAGGCCGAGGTGGGCAGATCACTTGAGGTCAGGAGTTCAAGAAGAGCCTGGCCAACAA